TAGAAGTACTTGGAGCGGCAGAATCAAAAAAGGTTGTTTCTGTTTTTTGTTTCGGACGCGTTTACTTTTTGCTCAACATTCTCTTGAAGCATGTGCTCTTGCCTTACATGACGTACAAAACAATTCAAGAAGCTGAAAAATGTATTGCAATATCCTCCAAAAGTACATTTATATATATCCCTTTGACCCAAATTATGTACCAGGCGAAAATGATACGACATACTACGGACAGAGTCCAAATTTATACCGCACATAAAGCAATCCATTCAACAAATGCACGCAAAAGCAGCAAGCCCGAATTCAATTAATCTGCAAATATACAATAATACAATACATTTGTCGGGCATATGAAAACGATAATATGAGAACTGTTTTCATACGATACGCTTATTCCTTTAGTTTCTACCAATTAATCACAATTTTTAAATAAAAACACCTTGAAGAACCACGCTTGCGCCTTTGGTTGCATACGCAAATTAAATGGTGGAGTTCAGCTGTCAAATAGTGGTGTGCTGAATTGTCGGTACCCAATACGGTAGTAGTGCACTTTAGAAGAATTGTCGGTACCCAATATGGTAGTAGTGCACTTTAGCGGAACCAGATCAAAATGGACGGAAAAAATCGAGAGTGGTATCAATCGACGCGTCTTGACACCAATCATAATAATCCGAGACCTGAAATTAACATTTTTAATTAATTAAAAAGTTATTTGCAAATAAATAATAAAAAAAAATATTCTCAAAAAAAAAAAAAAAATTGGGATCGATAGAGATGATTGTACTGAACATAACGGTATATACTTTTTTTTTGCGGAAACAACAATTACAAAAGTAATTAAGGGTCAAAGATCAAATTAAACAATTTTTAAAATCAAAATTTCTTAAAAATGGATGCATCAATTTTAAAAGTTTTGATCTCATTTGATAGGACATTTAATTCCCTTTACTTTGATATACATACTTTATATATGCCTGGTTTGGTTTTCACAAAAATCGAATTAATATACACAGAAAGGAGTTCCGCTTCTCTTCAGCGGCAACACAGAAAGGAGAATCCTACTTAGTTAGGGTCATATGTATGTATATTAAACAAAAGGGAATCAAATTTCCTATCAAATGAGATCAACATTTTTAAAATCCATGCATTCCTTTTTAAAAAATTTTGATTTAAGAATTATTTAATTTGAACTTTGACCCTTAATAACTTTTGTAGTTGTTGTTTCCTCAAAAAAAAGTATACACCGTTATGTTCAGCTCAATCATCTCTAGCGATCCCAATATTTTTTTTATTTATTAGAGAATCGGAGCTATTCTGCATTGGTTCCAAAATTTCAATTCATAGGCGCGCCAAAATGTCAAAAGAGCACAAACGTCAAATCGAAATGTCACGCAACACAAATCTTGGAATT